AAAGAAAGGATCTTCCGCCAATATTGACCGAAATATCTCATTTTCTATTTCAAGAAAAATTTTGTAAATTACATATTTTGGCAGATATTTGCAAAAAAACGATTTTTCGGCTATTCGGGACCATTTTTTCGGCCAAAGCTGGCCGAGCACGGTGTTTTTTTCGTCTCGTTTTTTTTCTCTAAAACTACTCCCCAAAAGTAACACAATCTGCCTGAAAAGTCCCGGTCGACGAATTAAGCCGTGGTGTCAACCTTCATTTACTGGACTATTAACTTAATGACTTTTTAAATTTTGATTTCGATTTGTGCTTGTAAATTCTATACTCAAGTGCTATAATATAAATATATACTTCTTCTTCTAGTGGGAATCCATTAATGGATGTTTGCGATAACATTTTCCATCGCTTCTCTATTCCTGGCGGTGTTTATTAACGACTGTACATCGTGTAGGCCTGTCCACTGTCTAACATTCCTCAGCCAAGACATTTTTTCCTTCCGATACCCCTCCGGCCTTCGATCTTGCCTTCGATTAACAGTTGCAAGAATTGATATTTGGGGTTTCGCATTATGTGCCCCAGGTATGCAGTTTTTTCTTCTTAATCAATTCAAACAATTCGCGCTGTTTGTTGACACGTGTCAGGACTTCCTCATTTGTTAACCTAGCCGTCCAAGGTATCTTCAGAATTATGCGATATAGCCACATCTCGAAAGCCTCTAGTTTATTAATGGCAGCTGCTTTCAATGTGCAACCTTCCATACCATAAAGGAGCACCGACCACACGTAACACTTTACGAATCTTAATCTGAGGTTAAGGTCAAAATCAGAACAGACAAGTACTTTTCGGAACCTCAAGAACGCCTGCCGAACTTGTTCGATGCGACATTTAATTTCCTTGTCTGATGTCCAATCTTCGGAGAGCCAGATGCCCAAGTACTTAAATTTATCTACCCTCTATATGGGCCTTGTATTAAATGTTATAATGGAGTTTTAAAACACATCTGGATTTCTGGATATTATCATAAATTTAGTGTTCTTAATGTTTATGTTTAAACCCATTGCTTTACTCTGTTCTCCTACCTTGTTGACCAGTTGTTGTAGATCGTGTATATTATCTGCAATCAAGACAGTATCGTCGGCGTAGCAGATGTTATTAATTCACACTCCGTTAACTTTGACTCCCATTTCCACGTCCTCTAGAGCCTCTTGGAAAATAGCCTCTGAGTACAAATTGAATAGGAGTGGAGACAGCACGCAACCCTGTCGCACCCCCTTCTGACTTGTATGGGATTGGACATGGTATTGGCCAATTTTATTTGTGCTGTTTGGTTCCAGTACAAGTTTTCGATGCATTGTATGTCTTTTTGGTCTATATCAAGCCTTTTGAGTAGCTGCATTAATTTGTGGTATTGCACGCGATCGAATGCCTTTTCATAGTCTATGAAACACAGGCACACATCCTTTCTCTGATCGTAGCAGTTCTGGACAAGCACCTGTGTTCCAACTATCGCTTCCCTTGTACCTAACCCTTGCCTGAACCCCTGGGAATGGCTCATCAGGCTGATAAGTCTATGATCTTCACATTTTCTGGCATTGGCCTTCTTAGGCAGGGGGGTAAAAGTAGAACGCAATCACTGTTTAGGGTACTGACCTGTCTCATATATAGTCTTAAATACTTTATGTAGTGCTGTTATGCCTCTTTCACCTAGGAGTTTAAGGATTTCTGCAGGAATTTCATCTGGGCCAGCCGCTTTGTTATTTTTAGAATTAAGTATGCCACTTTAGTGATCGATGGGCCGGTTAGCGAGTTATTGATATCAGCTGGGGGTCTGTTATCGTCAAATAGTTCTTCTACATACTTTTCCCAAACATTGCTCTTCTCTGTGCTTTCGAGGACTATCTGGTATTGTTATTATTGACTGACACAGTTGATCTCATTTTCTTATATATGCCTGCAGCCTCCGTCAGCTTTTTAAAAAAAAATACATACGTTAGATTGTTTATTGTTAGATTTATTTTTTTAAATAGAATAATTTTATTACAACGCCAGTCTTGTCTAACTAACTACTATATTTGAAAATTACGTATGTATATCGCATTGTGATGTAATTGTGACATATCATTATTATTAAGTTACTAATTTATAAAAAAGATTGAGAACATAATGAGAACATAAACACCTCTACATAAATAAATGCAACAAGTTTAGATTGGAAAGCCCGTAAAAATTTTGGATCGCGAAATTATTTTGGGTCGCGACCGTTATACACGATCTGGCGCTGCTATAGCGGTCGCTAAGAACAACGGCAAACAAAAACAGAAATAATTTACTCCTTTGATTTACTCTTGTCAAAGTCAGAATTTTCAAAAATCATAATAATCTTTCAAAATCTAAACCGCTTTCATTAAAGAAATTCCGAAAAGTGTTTATAACGTCCATTTTCAAAGTAATTATTGCTATCTTGTGAGTTTAATTCAAGTTTTATTTACTCCAATCGGTGATAATTGTGAAAAAGTAGCATTAAAAACTTAAAAAGCTGTGCTGTGAACTGTAAACTGCAAAAATCATCGTGGATCGTGGCATAACGTCGGTTTCCAATGTTTCATAGGTATTTCATACATGCGTCCTTATATAAAATAAAGTTTCTTGTATGCAACACACTGTATTTTATTTATAAAATTAAACGAAAATAATAATAAATTTGAATAAACAATATTTGGCGATATAATTCCGGAAAAAGCCGAACCGCTCCGAAATTTTCAAAAGTTTTTGGTCGCGACCGTTGCAAGAATAGCGCCAAATAGTGTTTACATTGTCCTTATGGGCACTTTCCAATCTAAACTTGTTTCATTTATCTATGCACCTCTATCAAAGTTAGCCGACATCGGGAATGTCACGTCGACAATTTAATTGTTGACGCGTCACTATGCGCCTTTCAATATTCTCACTTTGGGTAGTGTAGTTTGGAGATTAAAATATAAGTAAACATTTAAAGTAAAATGTTCAAATGAATCTATTTCAAACTGTGTGTATCCCCAGTTTGCGAATAATCACCAAGTCAAGTAATAAAGGCTGTTTTTTAAAGTGTTGCAAATGTCTAAAAGAATATTAGTGCATATTTTAACAAGAAAAAAATAAAAAATAATTAGGACTACTGATACATTTCAACATTTTAATAACTCATAATTATATAGACCTGAAGTCTAATGTACTGCAATTAATTGAATTGAATAAGTGTGGATTTACATGCATCCGTCATGCGTCGTCATAGTTGATTTTATAAAATTTTATTGGTTTATTTAAAAAATGACAGAAGGGAAACAGTAACCATAGCTTATGACGTTACCTTTTTGTTGTTACCGTCGTTGATTTTGATCAATTTTATTTATTATAGTATATATTTATAGGTTAGGTTACGAATGCATATCATATACGTATTATTTACAAATATACTCAGCCTAATCTCCAAAAAGTGAAGCCCAAACAGTGAAAGAACAATATGGAATTCTACATAAGTCTATTTCACCCGGATATTCATTTAACTGCGCATTCCTCACCTGAAAAAGTTTTCATTGGTCGATGTTTTTAAAGGGAAGTGGTTGATTGACATTTCACCTAACCTTCAATTTTATTTATATTTTTATTATTTATAACACATTATCATGGAGTTGGAAAAATATCAAAAAATAGTTGGAAACAATAAACTAAACAAAATCACTCTTTTACGCGCACAAATAAAACGTAATCCAAACAGAACTAAAACAACAATCAATCGGAGTTTGGCGCAATCGCAGTTCAATCTATATCCGGGTGAAATAGACTTATGCAGTTTTAATATGGAGCTGGGTTATGTTGTCTTTTTCTTACGGCACAGAAATTGCACACGGGGTTAAATAGGGAACCCTGAGTATATTTGTAAATAATACGTATATGATGCATATAAACTCACTGTTTTTATTTAGTGACAAATTGTTTTTGACAAATCAATACAAACTACATGCACCAAAAAACCAGAGATATTGAAGTTGGAGAATGAGCTTCGATGAGTATGCATCCAAATTCTTGTGGACGGCCGCCATTCTAGGTCTCGCTGTCACTTCATTCAATTCATCATCTCTTTAATTGACATCTATTTTTTTTTGTTTATTTCGTTTGTGTTGCCAAATTTAATATTATATTACTATGGTAACCATAAAAAAGTAACTTTGAGGTAACTTTTTAAAACTGCAAAATTTCGCCATATTGTATTTATGTAGAAGCTAAAAAGCAGTCTATAGCCAATTTCAAGCGAACAAGCGTCGGTTATGGTTGACAGATAAAGAATGCTTTAAACGTCAGTTGTTAACCAATCGGTAGACAGCTGACGTTTAAAGCGTTGTTTATCTGTCAACCATAACCAACGGTTGTTCGCTAGAAATTGGCTTATGGTTTAATTTAAAATATGCAAATTGGTACCCACTTGAAATGCTGGTCAAATCCAGCACAAAAAAAAATCTGTTGCATTTAAACCTATTACTTCTGTTTCCGAATTATACACTTTTAATAATGATTAAGAATGTGGCAGATATAAAGAAAAATATATTGGAAATGAAGATTGTTGTCATTTTGTATCTAAAATTATAGGAGACATCTTCGATCGTCACTTCCAAGGCAACTGGATGCCGTTTTATTTCGATCATACGGTACAATATATTGGTTAATATTTTGTGCCAGTATTTATTTCTAGCATGTGCACTTCATAAAATGAATGTTGCGACAAACACATACTATGATTAGATATATGGTAGATATTTTAAATTCTTTAAATTGCGATAAAACATCGTATCTCAATGATAAGTCCAGGGCCATTTGTTTTCATCAATATTTTAAGTAGGGATTTCATATTTTATGTAAATATTAGATAATTTATAGTATATTTTAGCCCTATTGGTTTGGTTGGGTTTAAAACCCGATAAGAATATTTAGGTTCAAGTTTCAAAAATTTTGGTATAAATAAAAATACTTTTTTCTTTTAATTACGAATATTATTAAAAATATCACAAAAATAATATATACATATAATACTTATAACAAATCTAATATACTACTTTTTACAACTAATGCTTTGCGTTCTGTTGCAGCGTCTTCTGTTCTGGTACACAGCCGAATTTTTGACCCATTTTTACCTTTTGACCATGGGCAATGTCAAACTTGAAATCCACGGGAGCTTCGAAAATGATTACGATTGTCGATCCCATGCGGAACTCTCCAATTAAGTCTCCCTTGTGTAATGTTATCCCACTGCCCAAACAAGCGTCTTTAAATTTGTGAGTTTTCCGCTTTTGATTTGTTTGTAAAGTTTTATCAAAAATTACTCTAATTGAACCCACATTGGTGGCACCTGAAAATATAAATGTCATTTGAAAAAACAATCTATAGTGATTACCACGCAATACATTTAAAGTCACAGTCTATTCATTACTAGTAAGACAAATTTTTAGTTTTTTAGTTAGTAGTAGGAACATCACTCCAGATCATTTTTAAAAGAAATCTCAGTGGAGGTCGGATTCTCACATAACTCTCACATAATTATTACATAACGTAAGATAAGCAAGTAAAGACCAACGAGAAAATATTTGATAGTTACATGTACAAGACGGTCAATCATTGGGTATGTTCAGAGATGGTCAATAACTGACTAGCTGAGAAAGCCCTGAACGGTCTATTTGGACACAACAACGGTCAGCCACTGAGTAAAATTCTCAGCGGTAAATATTTAAGCTGGATAAAGTCAGCGGTGTTTATATCCAATTTTCTACGTTTATATCACGGAGGAATAAGAGGGGGTTGGCGCTACAGCTGTTGCGAAAACAGGTTCACCTAGCCGCCAGCCATATTTGATTGTGGTACGTTTTTGGCATTTGTGCTTTTTTCCCAAAAATTTAATGTTTTTCATTGATAATTTGCGTGTTTTCTATTACAAAAACATTAAAAACCATGGTGTCGTGTGCTGTACGCAGTTTTAGGAGCAGGAAAGGTATCGACTCGAAGAAACTCACCGGCCTAACATTTCACAGGTAACATAAACAGCGTGCAGGTCCGTCATGACCGAATTAACGAATGAACATTAATTAGTATTTTCTGCTATTTTAAGTTTGGTGTAGTATTGCCAAGTAATTTGTTCATTGCGATACACACGATTAATATTACACAATGATAAAAAATGTCTATACCTATGTGGCGGATTCATCTCTCCAAAAAAATCCTTTATGGGTATTTCGCCACTGCACTGCAAGAAAATCTACAAAATAAAATAGTTATTTTTTGTAAACACTTCTGTGTTAAACCTAAACGGACACTGCTTGACAGAAGTTATGTTTACAGTTATACAAATTTGCCTAACAAAGAAAAAAAAATGCTTAACGTTACGGAAAGTTTATCTCTTTCCGTCGTCAGAACCAAAAAAATACAAAGAATAAAGAAAAAAACTATTTAAAATATTTAAATTCAATTATTCGAAAACACTTTACTTTTTTAAAACAGATACGTCTACAAGAAACCGTTGACGTTCTGTTAAAAATCAATTAAATTGATAAAAAAAAATAATTAATTAAAATCAATTATTGTTTTAAATCAATTTATTTTTAACAGAACGTCAACGGTTTCTTGTAGACGTATCTGTTTTAAAAAAGTAAAGTGTTCTCGAATAATTGAATTTAAATATTTTAAATAGTTTTTTTCTTTATTCTTTGTATTTTTTTGCTTCCGACGACGGAAAGAGCATTTTTTTCTTTGTTAGGCAAATTTGTATAACTGTAAACATGACTTCTGAAAAGCAGTGTCCGTTTAGGTTTAACGCAGAAGTGTTTACAAAAAATAACTATTTTATTTTGTAGATTTTCTTGCAGTGTAGTGGCGAAATACCGACAAATGATTTTTTTACACAATGATATTACATTAGCTCAAGGCAAATTTTAATCATTGTTTGCTGTTATTACTTGAAGATTTACCTAATCCGGTCCTGTCCAAGAGGTCTTTTGTTCCGCCCAAACAACGAAACTGATACCGTTTTTATCCTACAGAAATACGTATAGTAGCGTCTCTCCACTCTTATTCCTCCGTGATTTATATCCTTATCTGTAGTCAACTATATTCTATAATCTACTTATATATCTACTTATCTCTAGTCAAAGTTATTCTACGCCGCACTTCTCTGTACTTTTATCATTATTTAGTAATATTTTTGTAATAATGCTTAAAACATGTGAAAGTTGCTGTTTTTGCCGTTTAGGGAATACAGCTATATGCAATAAACCAAAGTCAGAGAAAATATTTGTTAGAAGTTAGCTGCTGTGTTCTCTGAACACGCCCATTTTAATCTACAGATAAACTGTATTTTCTGTCATTCCCCGACTCATTGGAGCGGCTTTATCAGGGCAGAATTGCAAACTCTAATTTAAAAAACATAAATTGGCCGGCTTGTGGTAACAATAGACTGTGCTTATCATAGACAAAATAAAATATAGACTACACTATTTACATCTCAACGCGGTCAAACAATCTTTTTTGTATACATGTTTACTTCTGGGTACAGTCGACCGAGCCTTCCTCATCCAGCCTATGTTGTCACGTCTTTAATATTATCAATATTTTTTTTCTTGTTACACACATATATTGAGATATTAATACTACTTTAATGTCTTTGCCCTTGCATCGCAATGAACTAAATAAACTGTAGCCAGTTCAGCGCGAAAATATGACAATGAAAGGACATTTTTTGAAGTGAAACTTCTTTAAGCGTGCTGGGAGTAAAAATTCAAGGCCGAGACACGACACGCGACACGACACGCGACACAACAGGCGAGAGGAAAAGTGGTTCAGGAAAAAAGGTCAGCCTACGGCTTAGAAAAAATCGTCCGATTTAAATAAAAATTTTTGGTATGTCAATAGATTGGACAAAGACAAACTTGGCCATGTACGACACTTGTCACTGTGACAGTTAGTTAGTTTAGTTTTAGTTAGTTAGTTAGTTTTGACGTAAGAAACACTAAAGGTTGATGTCGTCCGATCGTGGACCAAATTTGGTGGGTAGGCTATGTGAGCGACGGTGCACACGGCCCCACCCTGCAAAGTTGAATACAACGTTTCATTTACATCTTCGTCAAGATGAGACTAAGGATTTCATATTGAAGAAAAATGTGGGTCGATTTCGGCATTATTAAGGACGGGCTACAGGATGATGCCCTCGATGTTTCAAACCGATGCGATGCCTCAAAATGGACGAAATCATCAGGATTTTTCTTAATTATTTGTTGATTGGAACCAAACTCGGCACGTGGGTAAATGTACCCGCATGGCGTCCTCAGACGGACAGACGGTCAACTTAATACAAATTCTGTGAAAGTAAATCAAATTCTTTATTAATTTTAATTTATTACTTTTTCAACATTTTAAACTACACTTCTTCAAACATGTCCTTCAAATCATTCAATTTAATAGATGCTAGTAAGAAGTTAGGTTAGGTTTAACATGTCCAAGCCAATGTTCTAATAGATGATACACCTATGGAGAGACTACAAAAATATAAATATCTAGACAGTTGGTTGACCGAAAACTTGGATCAATCAGCAGAAATAAAAGCTCAAATAGAAATTGCCAGAGCATCCTTTGTAAATCTCAAAAAATGTCTCTGCAGTGGAGACATCAACTTAAAGCTTAGATTAAGAATGCTAAGGGGTACATATTTGCAACTCTACTCTATGGTTCAGAGGCTTGGACACTTAAAAAGGCCGAAATTGAGAAGCTTGAGGCGTTCGAAAGATGGTGTTATCGGCGTATGCTGAGGATTGCATGCATGGACTGACAAAGTTACAAATGTAGAACTGCGACGCAGAATTCAGAAGGACGAAGAGGTGATTAACACCCTTAAAAAGAGAAAACTTGAGTACTTTGGACACATAATGAGAGGACCTAAATATGCCCTGCTGCAGAACATAATAGAAGGAAAGATAAAGGGCAGAAGGAGCCAAGGAAGAAGAACATCATGGCTCAAGAATTTGAGAGAATGGTTTGGAATGACTTCAAACCAGTTATTCAGAGCAGCCGTTAACAAAGTTAGAATTGCCATGATGATTTCCAACCTCCATTACGAGATGGAACACGAAGAAGTAAGAAGTTTCACTTCAAATATGCGCACAGAGAGCACACACATATGTTATTCTCTTTAAACTTATTTCTACATGATTCCCTAATTTTCATGCCTAACATAACGCGTAGGGCTTTTTTCTGAACTAAAAATATTTTATGTAGTTCATTTGTACTTCCGTATATTACCATTCCATACCTGATGTTACTCTCAAATATGGCGTGGTATACACTTTTTAAAGTTTTTGTTTGTATAAATCTCATTGGTTCTTTGACGTGTCTTTGGCGACAGTACGAAGTCCTGAGAACGAGGTTTAATGCCAGTTAATAACGTTACAGGATGTTGCGATGCTATTAAGTCATTTCTTGTTTTTTTAATTGTTTAATAAATTAGTTAAGTGTGTTACCGCGTGTTTCAATGTAAAGACCCACGTAATCCCAAAACAAATATTCGATATTTTTTATTACATTGTAAACAGTTCAATCCATCCTAGTTATCTACTACCCCCAGAGGCATTGAAAACAATTGTGTGTAATAATATACTTTCCACTAGGATACTCACCTACTGCAGTATATGAGAAAAATCCATGAGCCCATTCACCTAAGTAAACCGCCCGTTCGTTTAGTACAAATAAACCAGGCAACCATTTGGCAATTCTGGGATTTACCGACAGCAGCTCTCCGGAAAAATGTCTCCTGTGAGTCGGTTTCCAATCGGCAGGAGAATGAAATCTAAATAATCATAAAAATTCTATAAAATTCTTTTGATATAAATATCAAAAATATAAAATAGAATTGAGAAAAAAAAATAGTCATTACTAGTAGCCACTGGATACTAATTCGCAAGGTGCTACGTCCACAAAAGAGCAGAAGGCACTGGACTTTTAAGTAAAACCAGGTTCCAAGTGGGCACTGGACATCTGAAATCGGTAGATGTTACCTCGATGGTCTTAGGAGACCCACGCATGCAAATGCTTAATGCAATTCATAAAGATGCCACATGCAAGATGAAATACTCAAATACACTCACAGATGCAATAAAAACGTAACGGAGAATTTTTTCGTGATGTTTAAAGTGTTATATTTTTTTTACTTTTAGCCCGATTTGCATGAATTTTTTAGCAAACTGTATATAAATTTATCAACTTTAATTAATAAACTAAGTCTTTCAACGGCTTTAGTATTTGTCTTATTATACAGGGTTAATTGAAGGGTAGTTTTTTACCCTAACTTTAAAACACCTTGTGCAATAATTTCGTGAGTTACTTTTCCTAAAATATTATTTTTCAATCAGAACCATGTCTCCTGAGCAGTTTGAGCTTTTTTGACTCATGTCAACACATGCCTTGGTTAATTTTTAAGAGCGAAATGAACTTTCCACCAACAATTTGCAGTTTTTTCAACTATCATTACTTTAAGATGTTATGTTTTAATATCACGAGGTGGCTTTGATGACTATTGTCATAATGTCATTCGACATTGATTAAAACTCTATATTAAAATTTAAAAAACAACGATACAGGCTTGGTTTTAATAAATATTAGTAACGCAATACAAAGTATTAGAGTAAAAAATACTATAATACTTTGTATTGCCTCATCCGGCTCCTATAACTGTCAGTAGACGTCGGTTTGTACTGTTAATGAGGCTACAAATATGTTGTGTTATATTTTCCCAATCTTCTCCAAGGAGCAAATATTCATAATTTCAGCCAACTTCAACAAGATCAATGACTTTTGTACAATCTTCGACACTAAGAACAATACTCGTTCGTACACAACAATAATCACCAAAGCCACCTCGTCATTGTGAAGAACATCCAAAAGTAACGATAATTGAAAAAATTTCAAAATGTTTGTGGCAAATTCATTTTGCTCTTAAAAATTAACAAAGGCATGTGTTGACATGAGTCAAAGAATAAAATATTCAGGAGACATAGTTCTGACCGAAAATAATGTTTTAGGAAAATTTGATCACGAAATTATAGCACAGAGTGTTTTAACGATAGGGTAAAAAACAACTCTTCGATTAACCCTGTATAATAAATCAAATACTAAAGTTTATAACAAACTGAGTTTCCGAAACTGGAGACAGTTGAGACAGAAAACTGACAGTTTGCTAAAAAATCAAGGAAATAGGACTATAAACTAAAAAATATAACATTTTAAACTAGACCAAAAAATTGTTTTGCGTTCTTTAAGTCTAGATACGTTCTTTAAAAAAGTCTTTTGAGGGAATAAAAATCCATAAATAATATAAAGAAATTTTGACATCAAATATTAATGATTTTCCAAAAAATGTATAACTTTCACTGTTTGTAAAAATCATGCAAATGACCCTTTCATTATTAAAAAATACTTTACCTGTGGTAATCTCCTGGCGCTAAATAAATTACACACTGATACAGCGTGTTACCTTCGTGAGGTTTATGTAACAAATGTTCGTGATATTTCTTTGTATTGATGTGTTGTACACCTTTTCTATTGTCGAGTTTTTCTCCTAAAAAATCTTGTACGTAGTACGTTACTCCTTTTACCTATAAAGAAACAAATTACAAGTTACATAAAAAGAAATATACGTAGTGAAAACGAAGTCAGTTAAGTGACGCTTTAAAATAAGAAATAATAGCTTTCGTCCTATAATTAATTTGTGCAAACCGCCTAATGTAATAATAGTTTCTATAAAAAAAGATGTCGCATAATATGTAAAATCAACACATATGCAGAAATCTTCTGGAATTATGGCCAATAAAACAAAATATTTTTCACGAAATAACATTAAAAATAGCAATCAAACAAGATCTAAAATGTATTTTAAAAAATACGTATATTTAATCTTTGATTAGATTATGATTCTGTAAACTACTTTCGTCAAAATTTAAATATTAAAAACACTTTATACAGGTTGTTGATTTGTTTATTACGTGCGGCAAGAGCTTTATGGTTGAAATATGGCAACCTCGGCCCGCTCGTTGATAGACGACGCGACGGGACGAGTCGGCAGAAAACCCTATAAGTGCATGCGTTCTCAATAGGCAGTGTTGCCATTCTGTTCCCCTGTAAGTAACTGTCCAGTTAAAAACCTGTATAAATACGCTCTTGATATACCGGGTCGGCATTTCTGGCCTTGGGGTACTAATTTTCGTGTGTACGAAGAGTACATCGATACGCTCAATACAATAATATGTACTGTAAAAAAAATAAAAATAAAGAAAAAAAAAGCAAGTATTTTTCCACGCGCATGAAATCTAGCGTCGCGTCTTATTAAGTAGTTATGTAATAATCATTCATAAACATGTAAATACCGACCCAAGACTTGCCAATATGGTAGAGTATTCATTCAGTTGATTTAAATATTTCCATTTGTTTATTTTATTGCTTCCAACAACATGACCAATGATTAAAGAATACAAGAATAAGTAACATTTATACAGGGTGATTCCTGTAAGTCGGTCATGCTTTCGAGGAATGATAGGGAACGTCGAAATATTAATTTTGATATAGCACACTATGGGTCAGAAATGCCTCTTGCGCAAGATACAGGGTGTTAAAGTTTTTGAAAAATTAAAGATATTCTTTAATAGTTTTTTAACAGTTGAAGGTATCGTTATAAAATTTTATTATAGGAGTCTGCCTAACAGAGACACTTTAAATGTAAAAAGAAGAGGTTTTAGTTTCAACCAGTGGCGTAGCTGTGATACGCATCGGGTAATATTTTAAAAAAATAGTACGCCACTGATAAAAATAAAAATTTGCCAGTTTTTTTATTTACTCGGTTTATTTCCAAGAAAAAAATGTCTTTTGCAACTTTCTTCTATCTAACACCATTTTGTCACAATTTAAATATAAATGTTTTTTTAATGAGAACCTTAAATATGCGAATTCTAATAACTACCTTAAAACTACGAATTTTATTATTAACAATAAAAAAAATTCTAGTTTAAATTTATAATTTTTTAAAAATTTATTTAGAGCTAATAGTAAAAAGTATTAAAGTTACCCAAGATGAAGGGAGCTGATGCACATGTGTTTCTGCCCTCTAAAAATTTATTTATTTTTAAATTGTGACAAAATGGTGTTAGATAGGAGAATGTTGTAAGAGACATTTTTTCTTGGAAATAAACCGAGTAAATAAAAAAACTCCGAAATTTTTATTTTTATCAGTGGCGTCTTATTTTTTTTTGAAAAAATTACCCGATGCGTGTCACATCTACGCCACTGGTTGAAACTAAAACCTTTTCTTTTTACATTTAAAGTGTCTCTGTTAGGTAGATTCCTATAATGAAATTTTATAACAATACCTTCAACTGTTAAAAAACTATTAAAGAATATCTTTAATTTTTCAAAAACTTAACACCCTGTATCTTGCGTAAGAGGCATTTCCGACCCATAGTGTGTTATATCAAAAGTAATATTTCGACGTCCTCTATCATTCCTCGAAAGCATGACCGACTTACAGGAATCACCCTGTATACGGGCTGCAGCAGAATTTTTTATGTTAGTCGTTATTTTTTTGGCTGTAACGCATCAGCTGGTCATCAGCGACAATTTTAGCGATTTTTAATAATTTGTGTGTAGTGAACTTTGTATAAACTTTATTATAATAGTGATTAGTTGTTCAGCTTTCAAGTGTAAAAGCCGCAGCGATAAGAAAGAGCCAAGAGTTATGTTTCATAGGTAAACAAACAGTCCACTCCACCTTTTTCGCGTTTTTTATTGAATTCGATAAATATTTTTCTGATGTGATATGTACCTGATATGTGCTATACGTCGATACTAGTTTTGTACCTTATATAACTTTTTAATACGTTTTTTTCGTAATTAATTAGTATAATACCACCGCATACACTATAGGTGTAGTCAAAACATTTATCAAAAATATAAATATCTATTTAAGCAGCTATGTTAAGAAAAATATGTGCCACGAGACTGTTTGGAGATACGGTAACAATTTGGTCTCGGGTGTTATTAGTCATTGCATTCTTTAGTCATTGTCCATGACAGATTAAAAAATTTGTCGCTCTGGAGTCTCAATCTACTGACTATCTAGTGACTTTTAAATACAATATTTTTTTTTGTGTGGATTTTAGCTGAGGTATTCACAGAAAAATGTATATCGGCATTTTTTTATCGGCTGCCCATGATTTTTTATTCTTTTTACAATGCCGGGCAGAGAAGCCTGAATATAATAAACTAGCGTGTACCAGCGACTTCGTTCGCGTCGAATTAATCATTTGTAATGGTGATGATAAAGCAAAGCAAGAATTTCCATTAACATACAAACTGGATAAAATTTTCTCAAATTTATGTCAGCATGAGAAAAAACAATATGGCGATATTATTATATAACTTGGTAATATTTGAGGGGTAGTTTCATCTCGTTGTATAACGTGAGTTTATTTTCCCAATAATATTTCTTTTAACATAGGTTTTAAAACGACACATATTAAGAGTTTGTGCCTGCTAAGTATTTCTGCGTCTCAAGCATGTCACGCCCTATCTGATTTATGGGCGTCCTGCGCTCCGATTTAGGGGTAAAAGTATTCCTAGAAAAGCGTTCAAAACCGAAAAGACAACAACATGTTTTCCCAAAAGACTAACCGTTTTTTGAATAACAAATATTGTAATATTTGAGGGGCGTTTTCACCCTCTTGGTATTTGAGATTCGAGAAACCCCTCTTTATCGAACCTCTACACCCCACAGTCAATCCGTTTGCCAAAAATCAGCTTTAAACGTCAAGCAGTTTAAGCAGAATCGTGATTATTCAATGGTCATATTTTATGAAACAGCCTGTATAAATTTATAAAAAATCTTAAAATATGTAAAACAACTATATAAAATGTATGTGTTTAAGAGTTCGAAACAAACTCACCGGTTTTTAAATAAAAAATATTTTAATATTTGAGTGATAGTTTCACCCCCTTAGAATTCGAGTTTCGAAAAATCCCTTCTTATCGAACCTCTACACCCTAAAGTCAATCTGTTTTCCAAAAATCAGCTTTTTACGTCAAGCGGTTTAAGCAGGATCATGATTAATCAATGACCAGCTTTTTCAAAACACCCTGTATACATTTTTAAAAAATCTTAAAATATGTAAAAAACAAAATAAAATATACGTGTTTAAGCGTTTTTTTCGGAAACTTGACCGTTTTTAAAATAAAAAATATTGTAATATTTGAGGGGTGGTTTCACCCTCTTGGAACTGGAATTTCGAAAAATCCCTTCTTATCGAACCTCTACACCCTAGAATCAACCTGTATGCCAAAATTGAGCTTCTTACGTTGAGTGGTTTGAGCAGGAACTTAAGGATTTTATATATTAGTATAGATAATAAATGGTATACCTAGTCAAGCTGAGGCAACATGATATAGAAATGGCTCAAGAACGTAGGAAGGCGTAGGTGCTATTCGAATTGTTAAAGTGATATTTTCAAAATTCAATATTTTCAAAAGTCTACAACTCGGAAACGGTTGGTTTGAGACACATTGTATGTATTTCGATTTTTGCTTAGAATAGAAGGAAGAACCGAAATATGGCAAAAATATACAGGAGGTTCCATTTAAAAGAATGAAAATTTGATATACCACGACTTTATGACCGACCCTGTATACTTAAATTTATTACCCGCTAATAGAAATTTAAAAACCCTATAACTTTTATATTTAACTTTTTGCGGTACCTCTTATATCTAAATAAATAAAAAAATACAATAGAAACCGGCAATTAACTTACTTGCTCTACTTGGCCATTGTCAACCGATCCTACACTAAGAACAGTTCCATCGCACGGCGAAACCAAGCAACTGTCAGAGTCTATTATTCTCACGTGTTCCTTAAGTGGTCTAGTAAAAAATTCCGTTAAAGTAGAGTAATGTTTTAAATCTTCGTGTTGAGCTTCGGATATGTCTACGCCGAATGTTCGGGCGTAAGTCTGAAAAACAAGTGGTCTGGCAAACTCCGGAATATTTTTGTCTAAAAAACGAAATTAGATTACATCAGTAAAATTTAAAATAAAGTAAGTCTGGAACATAAAAAATCCCTTGTAAATGTTAAGATCAATGAATAAAAGTTTCTCTTTCTATGAACTTTTTAAAATACTAATTGAATACCCGGTTTTCACCTGTGTGTAGGAAAATGTGTGTAAAAAATAGCTATTTTAAAAACTTCCATTATACTTTCGAAAGGAAAATAATATATCTAAGCTAAATATAATCTATTACAGCCTGTAGTGCTAAACTAATTGTGAAAAATAAAGTTCTAATCCTAGGTGCAACATTTTTCATAAACGCCTGCTTGTGCGGTTTGAAATTTTGATGCAAAAACCGGTCTAAGATTTTAAGAAATATAATTTTAGATTTTTCTTCCTGTCTAAATACAGGGTGAGTTTCCTACGATGTTCTCTATGGGTATTTCGGAAACTACTGGAGATAGAGAGTCGGTTAAATGGGGAAAGAATTGCAGTTTTGTGGGGTCATAAATATTTATGACCCCACAAAACGCCTTTCAGATTTTTGAAAAAATTCATGGCTTACTGGATATTTCGAAAAAAAACAAATTTCGGCTATTTTAAAAATTGTCTCTAATTCCATTATAAGCTATTTTAGACAAAAAGTTTTCAGATAAAAGTTGTAGATAATCACATCCTTAATGAGACCGTGTCCTCCGTTTTTTTTCTAAAGCGTGTCATTTTTGATATATGACACAAACATATTTTTTTAAATGGAAACCATAGTTGGCCATGACTTCATAAAAAGCGCCATTTTTTAAGCTTTTTAGTGATATAACCTATTATATTTTCTTCGAAAAATTACTGAGTTGTAGCCAATTCTTATCATTTTTAAACGATTTCACTTAGTTAGCCATGGAAACAAGTTCAATCGCTGTTGCTCTCAGAAATGTTAAGCTGTCACATCCAAACTTTGTAAATTATAATAAACAAAAATTGTAAATATGAATTTTTCAAATGAAGAAATAAGCGTGTAGATACTCGCGCATCAATAGAGTGGTTCCCACATGACTTTCAGTATGACACACCACCCCCCACCCTTCATAATGAAAGAAATTTTAAAAATTATTTATATCATAATTATACAAACGCAGGGATAGGAAGAGGTAGACTAATTGCATGGGTCTCCTCGATCACCTGACCTATCCATTTTAGAATTTTTTATGCGGTATAGTTAACAATAAGGGTTTACAAAAGAACTTATGAATTAAGAGGGGCACTCGAAGTGGCGGTACGAGAAAAGTTTAATTAAGTCGACCGGTCCTTCTGCGAGAATAGGTAGTAATTCAGTTTTAAAAAGATGCAACTCAAAACAATGGCGGATTTTTTGAACATTTTCTAAAATAACTTAAAGTGTATGCAGTGATATTATTTTTTTAAGTTTTAGTTTAAGTAATATAAATTGTAAAGAACCGTTTAGTACTATATTCTGAATTTTTATAACTTATAAATCATAACAGAATAAGAATACCATGCAATCTAAGTGAAATTAGTCAAGAAAGATAAGAATTGGCTGTAACTAAATTTAACTTTTCTAACATGTATTGAAAACCGTTCTCTAAAAAACGTAAGATTCACCGGTCAACGTATCCTCGAAAATGTATAGCCAAGAAAGGTTGAACCAATAACCCTACACGCTTTTCTTCATTTGAAAAATTCATATTAACAATTTTTATTTATTTTAATTTACAAAGATTGAATGTGACAGCTTGACATTTATGAGAGCAAAGACGATTAAACTTAATAATGATAAGAATTATATGATAAGAATTGGCTATAACTCAGTAATTTTTCGAAGAAAACATATTATTATAGCTTATATCGCTAAAAAGCTTAAAAAATGGCGCTTTTTATGAAGTCACGGCCAACTATGGTTTCCATTTAAAAAAACATATCGTCCCATTGCTGCCAAAAGTCACTAACTTACTTTTTACTAATTCCGAGAAAATGCGTCTAAAGATGAATTGCATTGCATAAAGATGTTATAGTTAGTAACTATTCGGTATTAAAATAAAACATAAATAGCCAGAAATCGTAGTTAATGACTTTTGCAATCGATTCTCCGCTTCAAAACATAGTTAGTGATTGAATTTGGTTGTTCGGAAAAATGTTAGTTAGTGACTTTTGGCAGCAATAGGTCGATATGTTTGTGTCAACTTTTATCTGAAAACTTTTTGTCTAAAATAGCTTATAATGGAATTAGAGACAATTTTTAAAATAGCCGAAATTTGTTTTTTTCGAAATAAGTAAGTAGTAAGCCACGAACTTTTTCAAAATCCTGAAAGGCGAATATTTATGACCCCACAAAACTGCAATTATTTTCCCATTTAACCGAGTCTCTATCTCCAGTAGTTTCCGAGATACCCATAGAGAACATCGTAGGAAACTCACCCTGTATAACATATATGTATATGAAAAATCAAAATAAGTGTATATATGTATTCTATTAAATATTCCTGCGGGATATATATTTTAGTACGATTCTGTTATATTTTTATCTACACGCCTACCTAAATCGTTGAACTTTTACAACTGGTACTATTTATAAAAATAGTCATTAAGTTCTTGTTTATTTTTAAAACTTCTCTTTTATATTAAGGATTTGAACATATCTAATTTGATAATAACATCTTGAATTTCACTATCACTTAATACAAATATTATATCATTTATAACCTTTTTTTGTCAAATACCATACAATCGAAAAATAGACGTCGGAGTTGGCTTGGAAATGATAATCGCTGTCATTTTAAATATATAAATATTGAATGTCAGAGATAGTAATTTCCAACATGATTGAAAAATCTAAAAACGAGATTTGCTTAAATTAATTTTATGACATTTACTATTCGTCTTAGCGACGACATCTAAAATTTGACAGAAGAAACAATTTACATTTAAACTAAAATGAGAAGTAACTATAACTGTTATGTATTCCATCATTGGACAAACTATAAAGAGACAAACATATAATTTGACAATACCACAGCTTATTGAGTACTAGCTGAGCTGGTTATCATTTTTTGTTTTTGAGTATCCGCGATTCACCTGCTGCGCAGTACTATTCTTTTACACATGCCAGCAGTCAAAGCACCAGTCTCGATTACTTTTTAAATCTAGTTCCTATGAAGCTCAGAATCCGACTTGTTACATAATATCGCATAATAAGATAAGGAATATATCGGTAAGAACGCACATTTCCATGCAAAAGATTTAAGTCGGCCGGCTGGTAATGAATAGGCTGCGACAATACATTTTTTAAATCCACTTATTCTATAGAAATATTTAAATGTTTTCTAAAAAAAGATAGGCATAATATGGTGTTAATTAATAACTAAAAGACTCTAATTAACATCATAAATAATAAAATGATGTAACTTTATTTGCAATCTAAATATATCTAGAAACACTTTTCCTTAAATTATTATTGTCCATATTAATATGACAACATAAAATAATATTTATTATATTCATAAAGATCACTTATAAGGTAAAAATGAGAAATTGGCTTATTCAGATCACATGAATATTCGATATAACGAAGGTTTGATCCTCACAATACACGTAGTCCACGCGTAATTCACACACTTACAAATTAACTGATTTAGAGTTTATTTCTCTGACAAATCATGAGTCCCAGGTAATATAAAAAATAGTGATCAAAAGCCATAAAAAGACTTGCAAAAAAAGTGCAGTACGCAGTGCTATGCATAAAAAGTGCAGTACTGTTATCAGTGGATGCAGTTTTTTGACATGCTTCAACTCCAAGGCTGGTATACCGGGTGCGTCTCGAAAGTGGCTCACAAAAAATTGAGATATGGTATGTTAATATATGACATAAATTTAAATTAGAATTGATTGACGTATTCAATTGTTTTCTGTCACTTCCTGATTCGCCGGAAATGACTACAACTTTTGATTTTTAAATGGTACCCTCGGTTTTTTGTTGCTTTATTTGATAGAAAATGATACTGTGAATAGAATGACGTATCATATGTCACTTTTGACATTTTCGCATATGGTTTATTTGAAATTATAACATGCGGTTCATAACGATAATTTGAGTCGAAATACCAAGTGTGTGGTATCAAATTATTCGTAAAAAATACTTTTTCCAAATATGCTAATGAGCCACCCTCGTTCCATTTGATAAAATTGAGATGTAATTAAAAATACGATTTGGGCATCTTTTAACCAGCCAGCACAAGACATGAAAAACATTAGACGATCAAATCTATTTTTCCAAGGCTCCTTGATTAAAAATTAGTGTTTTTAACATAGCCATGGCACTGTAGATTGAAATTTAAAATTCAATTTTGTTTTAAATAAAAATGTCAAAAGTTCACATATGATATGTCATTCTATTCAGAATGTCATTTTCTAACAAATGAAGTAAAAAAATACCGGGGTACCATTTAAAAATCAAAAGTTGTAGTCATTTCCGGCGAAACAGGAAGTGACAGAAAACGAATGAATATGTCAATCAATCCTAATTTATGTCATATACTAACATACCAAATCTCATTTTTTTATCTGAAAAAATAAAAAAGTTATAGAGGTGAGCCACTTTTGAGACGCACCCAGTATACAAAGAATAGTTACTAAATAAATCATCTAGCTAATATTAGTAATAAAAAATTAGTATTCCTAAACTTTCCTTCTATGTGGAGTATCTACGTCATTTTTATTTATATTTATTACCCATTTTTTATTTGACAATTATGAGTTTATGTAGATAATCATATCTAAAATAAATACCATACGATCAAAAAAAACGCGTCAAAGACGGCTGGGGAGTGACAATCGATAACAATTTCGGCGAGGTCAAGCCCTGGGCGTCATTTACTGGGCTCTTATTTTTTTTTATTTTTTAATGACCCTTACTGCCAGTTGGCCTTAAGAGATTATAATTTATTTTTATATTTAGTAAAAATGATGGTCTAATTTTTTTTTAATCTTTCTATAA